TGCTCGCCGTTTGGGCTGGCGGTGGGGCCCAAGCGGCGAGCTGTCTTGTGATACACTTGCACTTGTTGATCCCACAAGGGTTGAGCTGCCAATTGCCGTGGACTACTACATCGTGCTGGAACTCTCGCTTGCCGTACTCGCAGCCGTTGGAACCGTAATGGCCGACCTCCAGGTCGTCGTGCTGGCATTCAGATCAGAGAGGGAGGCACACTGATCGCGCAACGTTTGAGCTTGTGATGGTAGAATTCCAAGTGGTCGCTGAGGGCTATAGATCTCGGGGCTGCCGCTACTCATTCTGGTTGAGCTCGCAGGGGAACCCAGAGTCGAATCGAAAAGTCGGATCGGCGATCGGGGAGAAGTCGAATCGACGGAAATCGGAAAGCTACTTGGCCTCCACCGAAGAATTTGTTTCGGAATCCGAACCCGAAACCGAAGTCAAATTGAACCTGAACCAGAAACAATCAAAATCGAATCGAATCGAACCAAAGGAATCGAAACGAGACCTGCGAGGCTGCCGCTATTCATTATGGCTGAGATCGTAGGGTTTAGGCACCGAAGACGAATATGGCCCCCGGCGGATGCCTCACGGCAGCCGTCAGCGGGAGCCACGTCCCGACGGCGGACCTCCGACCCGGGCCCGTGGGATAGTTGGATGGCAGTGGTCGAGCGCTGGGAATTCTGGAGCCTCCAACGGTCGAGGACTGTAAAGTGCTGGAACAGGTGGAGGTTGAACTCCCAAGGGGGACCGCCCTGATCGTACCGAATCTCAAGATTTGACGTAGCCGCGATGGGGTAGGATAGCGGAGAGGGGGCGGGGAACGCTCCGCAATTGCTTGATTCGTAGCGGTTGGGATCCCGAAGGTCGCCACCAAGGTCGAGCTGGGGCTCTCGCTACCTGCAGGCACCCGCACCCACAACAGTTGAGCTCATACTGGCGTGAGGTCCCATTAGGCGAGGACCCGCAGTGCCTGAACCGCACAATAGTTGAACTCGAAGCAGTTCTGCCGTGCAGGTCCATGGGGGCCTCGTCTCTCCAGCGGATACTTGGGGCAGTGGAACACATGCTTGTGCTGACACTATGGACGGGAGGGAACATGGAAGCGTCACTGGCGCGTGCCAGGTTCACCCTGTAAGGAGGAACGCGGGGAGGAAGGGTGAGGAATGGGGAGGAGGCGGAGGAGGAGGAGGAGGAGGAGGAGGATTGGGAGGTGCAGGGGGAAGCCTTACTCCCGATTCCTCTCCCATGTCTCCAATACCTCGATGCTTTGCAGAGCCTGCAGAAGCATCAGCCTACTTCACTAAGGGACGGGGGGGTGAATTGACGGATTGGGAGGCAGGTGGAGCTCACCAGCCAGTACTGTCACTGCCACAGCCTGCTCCTCCAACTCACACCTGTGCACTCTATTTGCTCGCGGCGCCTGGACTTAGCACGCATGTTCTGACTGCCTGTCCTACAGCAGCAGCGACTTGAAGCCGGGGCCACATGGCCAAGATTAGAGCGTGGGAGATCTGAGGAGGACGCACAACCTGTACCACCCCACCTTGAGTCTCTGCGGGCGGACCCCCCCCGTACCCCGGTGACCCCAAACTACCCAGGGCAGTGCGATGCGCCAGGGGCATGCCTGCAGCCTGCACCAGTCAAGCCACTCGCTGCACGTTATGCCAACTTTGCCGCGTACATCCGACTGGGAAGCCGTTGGAGGGGATGATCCAGCGGTTAGGTGGATGAGGAAAAGCACAGACGGCACCAGCATTGGGCATCCAGTACCGCCTTTGTCAGCATTTCGCTACGTTAATTTATTCGGCACCTGCGCAGCCGTCAGCATAAATGTCAGCTTCACATGCAGCTTAGTCAACGTAAGTTAAGCAGGAGGCTACCAGGACGATCCAGAGAGCCCCCAACGCATGCAATAGCCGCCTCTAGAACACGGTCGGATAAACACTTGACCAGCCTAGCCGATCAAGCCTCATAGCAACCAATTGTCAACAGTACATTGCGTCAGCCGTTTGCTCTAATATGTTAAGCCGGCCAATGCCACATTGAGCCAGCTTAGACATACTCAAGCTTAAAAGCTTACGTTCCTGAGTCCACTTTGCCACAGCACATGCTTCTTTGTGCTTGAGGACGGCGGGCGGTCATGGGTAGGGAAAGGAGGATGCGAGGGACACCATACAGACAAACCGTCAGTCTTGCTGTTTAGCTACCTCATTCTCCTATTAGAACGCAGGGAAGTGAGACGACTACAGTTGCAGGCGCCACTTTGTATGTGTATGTCGGTCTCTCCCTTGTTGTTCGGCTCCTCCGTCGTCGGGTTTAGATTATCCATCGTTCGTTTTGGTTCGGACCCCCTCACTCCTACCAGTACGACGAGCCTAGCGTATACTTCGAGACTTTGGCCCTACTTGTTTTTGCTTGTCCCTCTGCCCTGTCCGTTCAATCTTCTACGCTGGCCTCGACTCAATTGTTCGCGCGTTGCCGAAATCGGCTTCACGTTTTCTTTTTGTTCATCCGTGGTACGCTCCAGCTCAGTAGGTTAAGCTCACCCGGCGTAAAACAAGTGCAGAGAGGGGGAGAAAGGGGCAGGAAGGGGGGAGGAAGAAGACACCCTGCCCTCTCCCTCCGCGATCCCTCCGCTCCCGAGCGAGCCCACCTACCTCCCTCCTCCCGCCCCCCCAACCCCTGCCAGAGGCACGACAGGGAGTGCACCCCGACGCGAGCCCGAGGCCCACGAGGTCCACGGGCAGGGCTTCGCTTGTTCTCTCGGCGCCGGAGGCTCTCTGCAGGAGAAGAAAACACAAAACCGCATACGGTCGGGAAAGTTTGCTTCGCGTGTCGCTGCGGCGGCCCTGAAGACACGCTATGCCATGCAAGCGGATAGCGCGTCGCTCCACCTCGCGGGGCGGGAATATGGGAACAACTCGGGATGTCGACGCCTGGGGACCAGGCAATGGACAGCGCGTCGCGCAGAAGCGTTGTGGACCAAAACCCGCGGGACGACACGCTAAGCTAACGCTCCTGACCGAAAACAAACACGTTCGGAGGTCACCGCGGCTTTCTTGGATCTGCGCTGGACCCCCCTGGCGGCGCCTCTGGCGCCGCTCTTGGCGCGCTCTGCGCCCCATGGGGGGGGGCGGCCCAACGCAGATCCAAGAAATCCGCGCGGACCCTCGCAGGCCTGAGCCCATACAGTTGTCTCTTTCTCGAACAGTTCACCTGCGACTCATCCCATCCCCGCCATAGCTCGGACCCCGTGGCACCCTAGCTCAAGGCGGGGACTTTTCCATCACCACCGCCAGGGGGTCGATCCTCGGGAGCCTCGGCACGGCGGATATTGAGATATGTGTCCCCCCCGCAGGGAGCCCGAATATATCCATCGCCTGCCCGGGTCCCGAAGATCGAGCCCCCAGGCGTAGAGGAAGAACCAAACAACATAAGCGTAAATTGTCGCAGCTCCGCGCGGATTTCTTGGATCGGCGCTGCGCCCCCCGCCAGTGGGGCCTCGCGACCCTCGCAGCAGTGACTGTCCCGCTCGGCGGTTGAACGTGTACAGAAGGACGGTGGGACGGCTGTGAATGTGGGAGAACCGCGACAACTGTGCTACAGCCTCCAGAAGGCTGTTCCCCATCCTCCGTGCCTTGGTGCGCATGAGTGTGAGAAGGGAGGAGCATGAGGAGGACGACGACGGCGATGCACGTTCGGTGCGGACCCTGGCAGGCCTCGCGGGGCCCCAGCAGCACTTGTGGGAGGAGGCTCAAAAGGGGGGGGGGGGAGGGAGGAGCCCCTCCAGGGGACACCATGTGCGGGTTGGCGGGTGGAGGGAGGACTGGTCACTGGGTCCCTTAGCTTCGCCCGTCGCGTCCCGCGGTGTGAGCCGCACGATGATCTTCGCGCCCCCGCGCCGCCCCCTTGGAGAAGGGCCGCCGCTCTGGCCGCAGACCGCGGCGCGCGACTGCTTTCGCGCCCCCGCGGGTGACCCGGGCTCAAAAAGGAACTGGAACCAGGAGGCGCGTGCGGGAGGAAGGCCCAGCGGGGCGTCCTCAGGGAAGCGTCCGGGGGTGATGTACTCAAGCTCTTTGAGCGGGCCCCGAGCGTGTGGCTCAGAGGCTCGCGTGAGCCCCCCACCCTGCGGACCTCCGACGCCTCTGACCACATGCCAAAACTACTCGGCTCCAATCAGCGCCCCGCGGGGAATCCACTGACGGGTGCTGTTGCTAACGACCCGACGAACGCAACCCTTCCCGATGCTTGCAATGTTGCCATGCCCGAAAGAAGCCCTAAAATGGCACATCTCTGGACGTTCAAGGGTATACTATGACGATGTGCCTCGATGACTCGAAACGGCTCCATAGACTCGAACGCTCTGTAACGGATTCATCCTCCTCCTAGACCCGTCCGATGCGGTGCCGATGATCCAACCTCGGCCCACACCGGCGGGGTCCGAGAACGAGCCCCAGAGCCTCCCACGTCGAGCCTTTCTTTTCGCTATCGGCCTGGGCCCCCGGGACTCCCGACCCTGTAGCCCCTGAGACCACTGTTTCGTCACGAGCAGTTCTGGGCGTCGCTTAATGAGGGGGAGGGGCGATAAATGAGGGGAAGAAAGGTGCACTTCTCGGGCCCCAGAGTATCCCTGTTGGGCCCTAAAAGACCCCATTAGGGGCCCCCAAGGGTCTCTTTTCTTTAGCCCTCGCTGCCCCCCAATTCATCGCCCCCCCCCATTATGCGACGCCCAAAATCTTCGACAGCACCTGGGCCCGGAAGCGCCCACCCACCACGACGGCGAGAAAACCGAGAACGCGCCCAGCGTGATCTTCTCTCGGGGGCGCTGCAAGCCAGTTTTTCGGCCGCACGCAAGAGTGGCACCAGGCGAGGGTGAGCTTTGGTGCGCGGCTGTGGGGGGCCGCGGGGAGACCAAACTCAACCCCACAGCCAATGCTGGGAGGGATTGGGTGTCGCTTCATGGGGGGGCGATAACTGGGGGACCCCTTTCTGCAGCCATTACGCGACGCCCAAGGGGACCATCAAGAGGTCACTCCTGCGAAGAATCACTCGCGCGCGTGACCGAATCCTGGAAGGGGGCGCGCGTCTTGGCGCCCGCCCTGGAGAGAGGGTGCGCACTATGGGAGGCCCGGACCGTACCGATGCCGCCACTCCCTGCGGTACGTTCTGCCCGGGGCGCCTTCTGCCCAGGATCTCTCCTGGGGTGCGTTCCGCCCGAGCTCACATGAGAAGAATCCGGCCGTGGCGGCGGGGGGGGGCCCCAACAGGGCGAAAACGAGGACACGGCATGGCGGCATCGGTGCCTGCTGCCCCTCTGAGCGCCAGGCTCGGTGCCTTCACGCCCGCCTCCCTGCGGAGGGCACGGGCTAGCCGAAGCACGCGCGGGGGCCCACGGCGGCCGCGTCGGCCGCCGGCTGCTGCGCCGCCCGGCGGGCGGCCACGCTCGGTGCGGTGGAGATGCCCTGCATCGGCGGAGCGCGCTGCCACTGCCACGCACCTGCCCTGGTCGCTGCCCCCATGGCTCTGGCGCTGGACAGCCGCCCTGTCACGTGACCCGCCCGTCGAGGAGGAGACGAGCGTACAGGAAGGATCCTCTGCCTCCTCCACTCCTCACAAGCCCCCTCGGCCTGGCGGACCTCTCCATGTCGACTGTCTCGACGGAGGAACACACCGCGATGAGAGCAGGCGGCGGTCCAGCGGCAGCGGCAGCTGACGAGGGCGCACCACTGCGCGCCTGGGACGAGGCCTCCTCCGCCGAGGGGAGGAAGAAGGGCCCAGACCTCCAGCGTATGGACAACATCGGGACGGCTGCGTTTTGTCCCCGTTTTCGGCCCCTGGCGGCCCTCGCTGGGCCCTGGGACTGTGAGCAAGACGACTCAGGATGGAGACCCAGGACCGGGGAGAGGGTCGGGACTTCCGGGGGCCCCGCATTTAACAGATCAAGGCATCGGATCTCTGACGCATCTGGGGGCCGGCGCCGATGGCCAGCCTGGCAGTTGTCAAGAGTCTCAGGAGGATGATAAGGAGCAGAGAGAGAAGGGCGTGGAGGAGGGCAAGGGAAGGACCAGGGAGAGGGCGAGGAGACGGAAGAGTAGACCGAGGGGGAGAGGGAGTACGGGTATGACTGGGAAGAAGGAGGGAGGACGCCCTCCCCCACTACCAGACGCCGCATGGAGTAAATGCCGCGTCTCGCGCAAAGATATATGATGTGCCACTCGTTCGTTTCGAACGGTCTCTGATCCCCAGAACCAAGTCGTCTTCCATACGCCACTTCACGATGTGCTGCTGGGTCCTAGTGTCCCAGTGTCCTACTGCGCTCGATGTTTGTCCTTAATTAGCGATAGGCATGAAAGGGAGTGTGCCTGTCGCCAACCCGATCAGCCATTGTATGCCCGCAGAAAAAAAGTTAATGCGTGCATACGTGCGCGACCATGTTTGCGGACTCGTGAGGATAAAATCAACACTCTCGCCTGGATGCCCACTCGAGAAGGGGCGATCTCTTCTGACCCACCCTCCAGTGCCGCACGTGGAGATCACATGGGCACGCGAAACGTCCTGCTCGAGGTCGTCCGCGCGGCTTCGTTCTCCTCCCCGATAGCCGGCAGCCCGATTTGGTCGAGACATGGGCTCCCAAACCTCTGGACCTTTTCTCCGGGGCCAGCTTTTAGCCCTGAGCTGCTTTCTGATGTTCCCTGGGCCCGAAAACTGGCCCCCGAAGGCAAAGAGTACGAAAACACCGCCATCTCGATGTCTAATCGAGCCGCAGGATATCTAGGCTCCTCGCCGATCTCCCCAACTGCTCCCCTTCTGTTGCGCCTGGCTCGCCCCGAGCCCGGCCCGTCGCACAGAGCGGAGGGGCTGCGGCCGCGAAGCCGTGCGCTTTGGTGCCAGCGGCGCTGCCGCTGCCCAGCAGCGAGGGCTTGACCTGCCCCTCCAGCTGCCCCAAGATGCCCCGATGCCCCTCCCACGCATGACGGCATGGCGACCCTACGCGGCGGCTCGCGCAAACTGCTTGCGCGGGGCACCGTAAAGAAGGGAGGGCGCTCACGCGCCCTTGCGCGGGCAGCCTGCACGCACGCGTCCGCGCAGCTGACCCCGGTTCTGCACGTCGTTCTCGTGGCCCTATGGCCGCCGCAGAGATGGTCCCAAAGTGGCCCAAGGGCGGCGCGAAGATGGCCCCAGGGCGGCCACTCCTCCCCCTCCACCCCCTCCTCCTCCTCCTCCTCCTCCTCCTCCTCCTCCTCCTCCACCTCCTCCTCCCCCTTTCTCCCTGCCTTCCCTCCTCCCCCATCCGTCTCCTCTTCCTCTCTGTCCTTCTGCTCCTCCTGCCGTCCCTCCTCTTCTTACTGTTTACATTATCCCCCCTTCGCCTCGCCACCGCCCCCCATCGGCCTCCTTGTCCTGCTCGTCGTCCACCTCGTCCCGCTTCTCATCCTACCCAATCGTACTTTTCTCCCCGATTCTAGCCCTTCTGCCCTTTTCATTATCCTCTTCCTCCTCCTCCCCCCCCTCCTTCTCCTCCTCCTCTTCCTGCTCCTCCTCCTCATGCTCCTCCTCCTACTTGTCCTCAACCTCCTCCTCCTCCTCCTCCTCCTCCTTCTCCTCCTCCTCCTCCTCCTCCTCCTCCTCCTCCTCCTCCTCCTCCCCATCCCCCCACCTTTACTCATCCTCCCCCTCCGTCATACGCCTGTTACTTGTTGTCGTCCTCCAGGCTGGATCGCCACACACACAAGTCGCTGATCAAATTCGACCAGGTACCCTTCTGCTCCTTCAATACCTCCGTCCCTCCCTCCGACCCTCCTCCATCCTGCCTCCTACCTCCTCGTGGGCGGCCTCAGGAGGCCAGCTCCACATCAAGGACCTCTTCGAGGAGTGCTAGGAAATGGAGCCTCCCTCTCCTCTCTACTTTGATATTATTTCACTATGCGCTCATTCGAGTGTGAATCCTGCTGGAGCTCAGCACCCGCTCGTGCCCGCGTCCCACCACCGCCTGTACAGTCGGGAACGTTTGCACATCCTTTCCCCCGAGTCCCCGGCTTCGGAGCTTGAGCTGCTCGCGGCTCTGCCGCCGGAGGTGGAGCAGGTGGACCCCTGCCGCAGCGGCGCCGGGACCAGTGGCTCCGTCCTCAGAGGCAGGCCCCGCGGCGGAGGCCAGCGGCGCTCTGGGTAGCGACGGCGCTGCCGACGGCGTGGCGGCGGCGCGGCAGCGGCGCGACTGCTGCTACAGCGCGCTTCGGGGCGCTGCTGGAGCGTCAGCCCGCGACGGAAGGGCATCCCGGCGCGGACCGAGCGGAGGCGCGGGGGCCGGCGACAACCCGGATGCCGCCAGCAGCGTGCCCTCTGGACGCGGGCGAATTCTCGGATTCGCTCACGACGTCCTCCAGCAGCAACCCCCCCCCCCTCCCAAGGCGCGCCTGGCAGAGGTCGAGGCCCCCCCCTCCCAAGGCGCTCCCAGGGTGCCCCCCGTGAAGGTCGAGGCGAGAGCGGACCCTCCAGCCGCGGGCGCGGCCCGGCGGTGGTCGCGCAGCGGCAGCTGAGAGCGACCCAGACTCCCGCGAGCCATGACAAAAATCACGACGGGAGATTTTTCGTTATTCTCGGCCCCTGGGGGCCCTCACAGGACCTCGGGACCGTCCAAATACGACTCGGGACGAAGAACCGATCCTGGGGAGTGGGTCGAGACAACTGGGGGTCGACGATGTGAAAGATCATGAAGTCGGAGGTCTGGGGAGCTGCCGGCTTGTTTCTCCCTTCTTCGAGGGCGCCCGCCCTGCATGGTCGAGGGTCGAGATCGAAACGGCGGCCCTCCCAGGGCACCCCGGGGAGATCCCTCCCGGGTCGCACCCGGTGCCATGGTGGAGGTTGAAGGACTGGCGGAGGCGGCCGCGGCGACGGCATCCGCGGTCCCGCCGGCGGGACGACCTCCCAGCCCGGAGCCGGTGGAGGAATCTCCCGCGGGCTGGTGGAGGTGGCGGCGGCGGGCCGGCGGCCGCGCCGCCGAGGAGCTGGCGCCTCCCAATCGGGGGGAAGCGCCGGCAGTTACAGCGCCGGCTCGGCGCCGCGCTCCGCTCGGCCGCCTCCCGGGCCTGAAGGTCGCGGAACCTATGGGCGAGCATCGGCGGTAGCTGCTGGCGACTGGCTGCGCCTGTACTGCTCCCTGCTGCTGCTGCTGCTGCTGCTGTTGCCTTCTCCTGTTCTTCTCCTTCCTCCCCCTTCAAAGACCCCCTCGCGTGATGAAAAAACGCGACGGGAGGTTTTCTGCAATTTTCGAGCTCTGGGGGCCCATATACCGGGCCTCGGGACAATCAAAAAACGACTCAGGATGAAAAGCGGTCCCGGGGGATAGGTTGACAACTTTAGGGGTCGACATCGTGGAACAAAGCATGACGCCCAGGGTCTGGATTCTGCTCTTTTCTGAATGAGCCATAGGGCGACCTCTTGCGCAAGCACAAAACAAAACAATTTGGCGCTAGCGTGTCGCTCCGCTCCGCGGGGCGGGAGACTGGGAAAGGCTCGGGGCGTTGACGCCTGGGGGTTAGCGTGTCGCGTCGACGCGTGGTGGGCCAGAGCCGGCGGCGCGACACGCGAATCAAAAAATCCCGACCGTATACTTCCTCGGCCCTCCCGGATCCCCTGCGTCCTCGGACCTCTCGTGTCCGCGGGCTGGAGTCACTGGACCCAATGCCTCTCTCGAACCCGGCGCGCCTGTAAGTCCACAGTCTGCCGGCGGGGCCGGCCGCGCCTCTCGCTCCGGGTGTGACCCGTCGCCCTGAGCGGCCCTCGCTCCTCCTCCCCCTCCTTCGGCCGCCATTCCCTTCTTTTTCCATGTTCCTTGCATTGTGGCGCAATTCGCTACAACGGTGCCCCCGTTTGGTTCGCTCTTCCGCCAGCGCAGTTGCTCTGCCCAGCCGCCGACGCAACAAAAATGTAGGTTGCGCAAGTCTTCACCCAGATCCCGTATGGCTACCCAGTGGCTCTGGTCTGGGAATGGGCTCCCAGGTGCAAATCACGAATGCTGGAGACCATCTTTCCCGAATGATGCAGCTGGCACGCCGACAAATCTGCAGAACGTCCCGAGAATATTCCAAGGGCTATCACGAGTGACATTCCGGAATTACCCGAACGGGTCTTCCATCCAACAAGCAATGTCCACGTTGTACCGCCCGTGAGCCCCATGATGCTGTAGTTGATAACCAGGCCCAGGACCCATTGATATTGCTCTGGGCAGGAAGGGTGCACTGGGAGTGCGAACAGAAGCCCGCTGGGAGCCAGTGCGTACCTGAACGCAGCAATCGTGCGATCCCACCACTCCCCGAAGCATTATGTGCCATGCTGTTGTCTACCCGTTTGGAATCAGACCAGGACGAACAAAACACGGCGCATCGTGCAAGCGGACATGGGCTATTGAACCCTCTGCGCGCCCACCGCCCCGACCACGTAGGCGCGGGGGCGATCCGCCGAGGGCGACCTGGAGTGCCAGAGCGCCGACGCCAGGGCCGGCGATCGCTGGGCCGCCGCGGGCGTCGCAGGCGACACCTGAGGAGGCCGCGAAAACGCGGGGCCCTGGCCCCGGGAAGCGCGGCCACCCGAGTAGGCTTCGAGCAGGTGGGGTCGCAGGATCGCGCGGCATCGCCGAAGCAACAGCGACGTCAATAATGCATGGGCGACGTCGGCGTGGAGAAATCAGGTTCTACAGAGCCGCATCGCTGAGCATCGGGGATGCGACGCGATGCTCCGACACGGTATACTCGGAGCCCATCTGGGAGGCCTGGAAGAAAGAGCGGTGCCCCGTGGAAGGGCGGTGCCCTTTCTGACGTACGATCCTGCGTTGGAGCTAGCCTCCACTGTTCTGCCCTGCTGCTGCATTGTGGAATTCGGGTTAGCACTGCGGAGTGGCGCCCATGGAGCCGCACTCTGGGGTCGCACACTGGGCTGAGCACAGGTGCTGTGCTCTGGGGTTGGGCCCTGGGATGTTGCCGCGCAGCATAGTACACAAATGAGACGAAAAGCCCTACGGTTCCATGATGCATCACGCGCGACACTAATCCAGATGCTCACCAGACACCGGCCCGGGACGCAATAGAAGCACCCAAACTCAACCTCAAGAGAGCGTCACCAAGACTGTTTCCAGATATCCTCCGCATTATCACAATTCACTAGATGAGTTCCGAAGTCCTCCAGGACATTGATGGAGCCGATGGGGTCTCTCGACGACTCGAGGGACTGACGGCCCGCTCGTTAAAAAACGCATCCGATGCCTCATCATTGTCGATTCCTGACAAGTAAGAGTCTACCTGTTCGGCAGTTCCATCGCCGACTCTCCGAAGACATGGCACACCTTGCCGACGCAAACGAACGTCCAGGGCCAGCCACAGCACACACATTGGTGGAATGACTCTTGTCTTGAAGTTCACTCAAGCTGCGGCCTCCATCATGGATGATCGATACCCGCTTGGGATGGGTCAACAACGAAAGCTCAACCGCCGATAACCCGTCACCGACGATCGAAATATACGCACACAAACACACACATTCCCCAAAACAATGCTTGCACTGTGGGGTTCTAACTTGCGTTGCTGAAGTACTTGGAACTGCTTGCCGAGTTTTCGCCACGTCGCCGGCGGTGCCGCCTCGTGGGCGCCCCGTGAGCGCCCCATGCGCTGGGTGGGTCTCCCGAGGGTGCGCCAAGTTGCCGCGCAGGCCGCCTCGTGGGGGCCCCGTGCTCTGAGCTTGCACGACGCAGCTTTCACCACGTAGCTTGCACCGCATAGCGTGCACCACATTGCTTGCAGCGCATATACTACACGACGTAGCTGATCACACAGTTTGCACCTCATAGTTTTAACCTCAAGTGCACACCGCTAGCTTACACGACATAGCGTGCACCATAGAGCGTGTATCATACAAGCTTCACCTCCAGAGCTCACACCATGAAGCTCACGCTACATGGCTGTCACCACATAGCTTACACCGCATTGCGTCCACTGCCACCGTGTAACAACTCAGTGGTTGGGGTCCACACTGGCGAACCTATACATCTACACATTCACACGATTTGAGGAGCGCGCTCCGCACGCCGAAAAATCCGAGCCCACTGACGAGCGATCCTCTAGAAACTTTGGAACAATCCACCCAAATGTGCGAAACCCCTGCCGCAGGCGCACAGGCTCATATGGAAGGCTCAGACGTCCTTTCGTGCTGCCCGGGAACTCACTTTTCATAATCTAGGGCCCATCGCAGAAGGCTTGGGGGCAGACGCTGGAGGCCCTGGGCCTGGCCACAAACCGCAGCAGCATTTTTGTTGGGGTCGCCGCAGTGCGTTCGACTCCCACGCAGGGTGGCCACTCTGGCTCAAACAAATAGGAATCACACTGGGGCCTACGAATGACAGTGGAAACGTATTCCTGACACTCCACGGACCCTCCCAGAAGCCCAGAGCACTGTCAGACGCTTTCAAATCCCCCTCAGGTGTCTGGAGACGTATCCCAGAAGTCATGGCACGAGTCTGGAATCCTAGGCCGCTGCCTTCAGAGGCCTTGGGGCAGGGCTAGGTACGCCAAAGTAGGCCTAGTTAGGCCTGGGGTGAACCTAGGAGTGCCTATGGTAGACTGAAGACTCAGGGTCGGCCTAAGGAGGCTTGGGGTAAACGTCGTTTGGAGGCCCACAGTAGACCCAGAGAAAACCAAGGTAGACGTGAGTAGGCCTAAGGGCCTACGGTTGACCTGGGGTAGTCCCAGGAGAGGCGTGTGAAGGCCCATGGTAGACCTACGGTACGCCTACGAAGGCCGAGGGTGGACTTATGATAGGCCTAGTAGGCCTGCGGAAGGCATTCTTCGAGCTTCTATAAGGTAGAAGCATGCCCCAGACACTAGCAGGCAACAGGACCTCCGCAGAAGCGCAGAGCGCTGTCAGACGCTGCCAGGGTCAACCGCTCGGTCGGTGGGTGGTTGTCGTCGGTCGTTCGGTTGTCGCCGATGGTCGTCAGTCGTAGTCGTCGTTGTCGTCGGGTGGGCGGGCAGGCGGGCGGGCGGGCGGGCGGGCGAGCGTCGTCGTCGTCGTCGTGGGTCGGTCGGTCTGTCGGTCGGTCCTTGTCGTCAGTCGTCTGGTGCCGGCGAGTCGGCCGGTCGATGCAGATCGGTCGGTTGGTCGCGCGGCCCTCGTCGGTCGTTCTTGATTGTCCTCCGCGTCTTTGGCCAGTCGGTGGAAATATTGAGAATAGAGGGTGAAAGGAGGACCTGTTGCTGCGCAGACGCAGAACAAACCGAAAGCAGAAACCCTCTCTCGTCTGATTCAGACAGGGGAGACTCCATCTTTCGATTTACTCTGTGCGTTTTACTGCAAAGTGTTTTGTTTTGTCCGTGCGGCGGTGGGCCAACGTGAGGCCCAGACGCGCGATGGGACAGGCGGGGAGCAAGAGGACCTCCTCCTCGGAGGAGGAGGAGCGGAGTCGGTCATGGGGCCCGGCCGAAGGCGGTACTTCGCGCCAGTGCCAAGAGACCCGCGCTCTGGGGGAGGGAGTCTCGACACAGGCTCAGCCTTGCTGCCTCCCGCGGCGTCCGTGCCCTCCTACTGCCCGTGCCCCCGAGCGCGGCGCCGGCGCGGCCACGCGCTGCCGCAGCGCCGTGTGGTACGAGGCCCCGCGCGACGCGGCCCTGCAAGTGCCTGGGGTGGCAAGGAAGAACATGGGGACCATGACCAAGACTGACCGTGGAAATGTAGTCTCGATCTTGGTCACCGTCGATCTTGGTCAGCGTCAAGTCGTAGATCAGCCTCGCGGATCGACGACTGCCGACGTGAACCATGACCAAGATCGGCACTGACAAGATCCCGCGACATCGATGGGGGGCTCGCCGCAGCGGGCAGAGGTCCCTCTACAGTCAATCCGTATAACAAGGACGCACGATAAGGATACACTGGCCTTGGAAGGCCATGTCGACACCTTTCAAGCGGGGCGCGGCCAACGAAAGCGGCCAAGGATGGGCCGAAGGGGAAGGATGCAAGGGTAGCCTTGGAAAGTCGCTCATCCTTACTATGCGGGTTGACTGCAGTGCGAGGCCAATTCTTATACACCACCGGCGCCCGCAACAACAAATAATCGCCAACATGACTGGAGGCGGGATCATGGCAGAAGACGCTACGACCCGGCGGCGTGTTTTGATGAATTCTGTTTCGGTCCTTACGAGAGAGGGGGGGGGCAGCCCAATTGCCGTTGGCGGCGGGAGGGGGCTGCAATTTTTCCACCAGAACACAACTGCACCAAATCGAACCGTAGATGTTTCCCGATCTTGGTGGCGATGGTCACATGTTGTGCTCGGATGTAGGCGGGGGAGCAGGCGACCTCCATCTCAGCGGATGCTAGAAACGCTGGGGGCGTTGTTGTTGCCCCGTGTCCCACTTTTCGGTTGCCGGCCAACCAGAGCGGAAACACATAACAGCCGCCCAGACCAGAAACAACCAAAACGGAAGCCCGCCAAGAGAAACGGCGCGAGTGGAATCCAAAAACGGAAGGAACACTTGCCCAAACACTGACAAACACGTCAATGAAAAAAAAACCCTCAAGAGTTTTAAGCATCATCTAAGATCCCGACCTCCCATTTCTCCCCTGGGCTCGCCGCCTCGTCGTGAAAAGCCTTAGAGGCCACCCAGATTGGGGTCAACGGGCTCGGAGGATCCCGATGCATCGCCGATGCATCGGCGGCGTCGGCGTGGAGAAAGTCGGGTCCCACATCGAGCTGCATCGCCGATGCATCGGCGATGCGGCGCGATCCTCCGGCCCCATTTGCTTGGACCCCAGTTGGAAGGCCGGGAAGATCACGACGGACGATTTGGGGCAAATTTCGTTCTCCAGTGGCCCCTTGCTGGGCCCCAGGGCAAGAAAAGACTCGGATCGAAGCGCCAGTCCTGGGGAAGGGGTCCAGACCTCCAGGGCTACAAGTTGCGAGAAAGCGGCATCACCACCAGCGCGAGGAGCCACGGGGGGGCCTTTCCCGCTCAAGAATGCATCCCCTATCGCCAGGTCTGGGAGGCATCGTGGACCTCCTCGCTGGAGGTGGCATCGCTAGTGTTGGTGGTGCCGTTTTCCTTCTCTCCGGGAGAGCGGGCGAACGAGACAAATCTTGATGGGATACCTCGTGACTACAGAACTCCACCCTCCCCCCGCACCCCTGAGCTTCACGACCGCTGCTAATTACCAAGAGGGAATGTTCGGTGGCAACTCGCGGGAGCCTCCCATGCCATTTTCCTGGCTCTTGCGAATCGACGCTAAGCGACGCTAGTCGAGGCTGATCGACGCTCAGCGACGCTCACCGACGCTACATCGGCGCTAATTGACGCTACATCGGCGCTTGATGATCGACTCCTACAAGCAAGCTCCCGCCAGTGCACTCTACATATTAAAGTCCGAGGAAATACAAGACGCCACGAAAATATATACACAGACACCCGCCGACGAAATTTGCTTGTGCCTTCAAGTGAGGGTGGGTGTGTATAAATCGCCGGCTCGCAATGGTGATTTATGCACCGCCACCCTCCCTCTCTGAGGCCCAAGGAGAATCCGCTGACCCTGTCGGCGTGTGGAAGAGGCTGTTCCGTTTGACTCGTCCTCGTCGTCGTCGTGGTCGTTGTTGTCGTCGTCGTCGTCGCTGTCGCCGTCGCCGGTCCCCTCTCTTTCCCTGAGCCTGGCGCCGCTACCTCCACTTTCACCGGGCCCTCCTCCTCCTCGAGCGCGCCAGCCACAGCGAAATTGAGCAGCGCTGTAGTTGAGTCGAAGGGAAGCCCTTCCCCGCCGGGGCGGGGGTCCCGGGGAGGGGGTCCCAAGGGAGGTTCCGGGGGGGTCCCGGGTAAGATACGACTAGCCTCCGGACGGTTAGGGAGCCCAGACAATCCCCAAGACGTGGCAAAAGTGCCCCGAGAGGCCCCCAAGAATATCCTCGAGGGCCCCGAATCGCCGAAGTATCGGTCCAAGTCGCGATAGCCTCCAGACAGCTTCGGAAGTTCCCAATCCAAGGGCACTCCCAAGAGGACGCCAAAGAGCAAAAATCATAGATTCCCTTCAGATTTTGAAAGATTTGGGCATTCTCGCCTTGTCAGCTTCCCGACGCTCGAAGACAGGCCAAAAGGCCCCCCAAACCGCCCCAATATCGCCCAAGACGCCTCCAAGAGAGAGCCCAGACTGGAGACTCGACCGGACATTTCGAACCCTCGGCCTCAGAAGCTCCCAGGAGGCCCCCATAGGCCCCTGAGAAGCTCCCCACGAAGCCTCAAGAGGCCCCCAAGAAACCCCCAGAAAGCTCTCAGAGGCCCCCACGATGCTCCCAAGCGGCCCCCAACAGCCTCCCAAGAGGCCCCAGAACTACCCCCAAAAGGCCCCCTCCGAGAACTCCTTCACCGCCGGGGAGGGGGGGGGGGGGGGCGTCCCGGGGGGGTACCAAGGTGAGACCCGGGACGGGTGGCGGGGGATGGTCCTGGGTCAGATACGACGCCTCCCTCGCTGCGATTTCGGAGCCCAGAAAAACTCCAGACGCGCCAACATTGCATCACGAGGGGGAGCCCCTTTCCTTTCATCCCTTCTCCGCCGGGAAAGAGGGACCTGGGGAGGGCAGGTGCCGAAACGCTCAAAGCCTCGATCCTCGATCCTCGAAACCTCCACGACCACTCCTCTTCTTTCTCCAACCCAAACCCGCTCAACATCGTTCCCCGCACTCTTCCTGGGTCCATCCGATGTAGGTTTTCACCTCGGGTCCGTTTCTTACGGCCCCCGGAGCCCGTACTGTTAATGTTCTCCCTCCTCCCTCTGCTCTTCGCTCCTCTCCTCCTGCTCCTGGTTCTCCTCCTCCACCACCTCCTCCTCCTCCTCCTCCTCCTGCGTGCGGGGGGGGGGGACCGGAGGTAAATCCCGGGGATGCTCCAGGAGGGGGCCAGGTAGAGCCCCGAAAATTCTGTAATGATTTTGATTGTTTCCTGCCACCTCCTCCATCCACCGTTGCTTTCCCTCCTCGTGCCCCTCCTGTGCCTGCTCCTTTTCCTCCTCCTCATCATGCTCCTCTTCCTCATCATTTTTTCCCCCGCCTGCTCCCTCAATTGCCTCCTCCACCCTTCCTCCCTCTTCACCTCCTCCTCCTTCACCCCCCCCCGCGTTTCCATGGCCTCCAGGGCCGGCGGCACAGGCCGCAAGGCCTTCGCAATCCACTGGAGGCTGTCTGTGTGTATGTGTAAATGTATGTACATGCATATAATGGCGAAGGCTCCCCTGGTTTGCTGCCGGAAGAGTGCAACGCGAAGACGAGGACGCCAGGATGCCGACGACGGAAGGGAGGATGGACGGGAGCAGCTGCCCCGGACTGCTTGGCTGGCACCGAGAAGGTCCGCGGGCGGTGGCAAAGGTGGCGAGGAGTGGGAGGAGGACGAGGATTGATTAGACGCCATGCCATACCTATTCATCCTCTCGCTCGCTCAACGTCGCCGTGCCCGAAGAAGCCTTGCCTTTTCTGCCTGCACGTCCCGTGCAGGCTTACTGGCGCTTGCGGCGGAGAGGCGCCACGAAGCAAACCTAAGAAGAACGAGAATGGGTTGGACGCCCGAATCATCCCGGATGGCTCTGGTCTGGGCTGACCACCCCGAATAATCCAGGATATCCCAGGTTTCGGACGACCCAGCTTCGGCCCCCGAAGCACGAATATGGAGCTATTCCTGACCACCCCCGGCCCTGATGATTCGGGGTTCTGAATGGACAGGAAAAAAACGACGAGTTGGGTCACCCGATGCTTCACATGGTCAATGCAACATGTGGCGCTGTTGTTTTGTCAACGCTGTCCTAATGTCCGCATTCATTTGTCGCGCCGTGCGGCGGTTGTTGCTATTGAGGTGGTGGTTGAACTCTGCATGTAAAGATCAAGTATTCTTACTTCCCCCCTCACATAACCATTCTACCGTTCAATTGAAGTGTTCATCCCTAGGCTCGCACCCTGTTGTTTTTCTTGTTTGTTTCCTTTCTTTTTTTACAACGGGAAGCTGGGCGTCGCCAAACTGAACCCCGTGGCCCCCGAGTTACAACAACAACGGTTCCCGCCCCTGACAGAGCATTCTCAATTCGCGCTCTCGCGCAGGAATTCCCCACAAATTATATAGGAATCGCGCTCTCGCGTGGGACCTCCTCGCAATGTATTCAGACACCGCGGCCTCGGCACTCAGGAATCACGCTCTCGCTCTAGCCTTTCTCACGATTTACTTGGGAATCGCGCCATCGCTCGATCTCTCCTCGCGACGCATGCAATATTCACGCTTCAGCAACACGTCTTCTCGACCTGGCCACTTGGGCCCGCCTTCCCGACTCGCCCGTTAGGGTCTACCCGCCCGATGGGCCCTTCTGGTTCTGCCACGTGTTTTCTCTTCCTAACCCCCCTCCTGCGAATCCCGTGTTCCATCCTTCTCCCTCCCGCTTTCCATGCGTCCTCTCTTCCATTGTTCCAGGGGCTGCGCCTAGAATGCGCGGCAGGTGCTGAAGGTATACCCCCAAAGGGGTACGATCGAAGGCGAAGAGAGCGGGTACCGAGGGTTCGGCACATACGTGCTGAGTGCCACGCGAGCCGGCACAAACGAACAGGCTAACTATGTTTGTTGTTGTTGTTGGTGTTGTTTGTTGTTGTTGTTGTTGGTGTTGGTGT